GTATTTTTAAAATCTTTATTTTACAGTTAAAATAAATGTTTATCAAATAAAATCTAATGTTACAACTAATAATGGATCCCTTTAATCTTTCTGATGTAACTTCTAGTTCTGGTACTTTTAGAGTAAACTGCACAAATATTTGGTTATGATGAAAAAAGTTAAAATGTACAAATGGAAAAACTGCCGAAATAGACACACTGTCTGTCACACGTCACTGTTTTATTTTAATTTCTTAAGCAGTTAGTCAATAGGTGGCGCTCTTATCTTGACAAAAACAACCTGAGAAGTGAACCAGCTTCATGAAACTAAAAATCCTAAACTGAGCTTAATAGTTAAAATAAAATAATATACTATTTTTAATTTCTAGACATCATAACACACAGAGTCTTAAAAAAATAAACATTTAAAACTACTTGAGTTTTAGTGGTTATTTTCACCTGTAGATATTTTGCTGACATGGTTTGGATCCACTTTTGCTTTTGGTGATTATATATTGGCACTGGCTTCACTTTGGAGATGGTAGCTGTTTGTTTTTCCAGTAAAAATAATTTTCAGAAAAATGTGGTTCAACAATGAYGGTTTTTAGTTGTAGCAAGAAAAAAGACAGGTTAAACAACCAGTTTCTGTCCTGAGACTAGAGGCAGCAAATGACATCAGTGTCGAGTTAAAAAAAAAACATGGTCGAGTTTGTGGAACTTAATCTACAGCACTTCTCAAAAACCAGCCAGGCTCAGTTGTACTTGGATATAAGGGGCTTTATTCTTCAGTATAAATTATTTTCCCACGCTTTCAATCTTGTTTTCCATGTCAGACGGCGACCTTGCGTCCATATCTCAATGCTGTGCGTTCCACGCTGCAGGCCGCTCTGTGCCTGGAGAATTTTTCCTCACAAGTGGTGGAAAGACACAACAAACCAGAGGTGGAAGTCAGGTGAGTCAGGGCCTCCTTTGGGTTTAGCTTCTAATGGTTGCAGTGCAGAATAATAACTGTATGTGTGTTGCCTCGTCCAGGAGCAGTAAAGAGTTGCTCCTCCAACCTGTAATCATCAGCCGAAACGAGAAGGAGAAGGTCCTGATCGAGGGCTCCATCAACTCTGTCAGGGTCAGCATCGCCGTCAAGCAGGTCAGTCATGTTTCTGACTTAACAGCTTGGTGGCAAGTATTCACAACAATGGTCACAAACTTAATTTTTTCAGTTCATTTTCTGCTGTAGGCTGATGAGATCGAGAAGATCCTGTGTCACAAGTTCATGCGTTTTATGATGATGAGAGCAGAAAACTTCTTTATCCTGAGGAGGAAACCAGTGGAGGTCAGTAACACTCAGTTCTTGTTAATGTCCAATCTAGACTTAAAAAAAAAATCACATTTTTAATGAACAAAATATTAAGAAAACAACAGTTACTGTAACATAAAASGACAAGTTTACTTACATTAAACTGTATCCAGTAGCTCATGAAAACTGAAGGTATCTTAAACAATGTAAGAAAGTTCAGTTTTGTGTGAAATATATTCTTCTAAAACTAAAGTGTTCTGAAAATTTGATAAAACCTCTTTTTTTCATCTCTTAAAAGAACAATTCTTTGACTTTTGGTTATAAATTATTTCCGCAATGCTTTAAAGAAAAATAATGCCAGCAAAGACATTGTTTTTTATGTTGTATTAAGAATTATTTGCTTAATAGAGGTAACATTTAAAAGTTTTTGTTGAAAGTATAAACTTAAATTTAGATTATGCTAAGATTCAGTATGAAGTCCACAGTACGCATCCCAAACCATTAAATGGATCCCTGATTAGTTGTAACATTAGACTTTATTTGATAAACATATATTTTAACCAAAAAACAAAGACTAAATACTGTAGGCTGTTTAGTTTTGTAAATTTTTACAAATATATTTTAACATGGACGGAGCCATTTTATTTACACACAAAGCATTCTGGGTAAATGATGACATGGATAGGTCCTCGTTGTGAGCGAGCTATGTCCACCCTGAAGGTTACTGTATTTATTCAAGTATAATACGTAAAATTTAATCCATAAAATCATCCACAAAGTTGGGGGATTGTACTATACTCAGATAAATATTTTTACTTATGTATTTTAACTGAAATATCGGCCTCATTCACAAAATGCCTCATTCTGGACATGAGACCACGTTGTAAAAAGCATTTGAAGCGAGCTTACCTGTAACAATCCAAGCAAGATAGTAACAGATCCAAGCAGGTGACAGGATGTGGAAAAAAAAAGGAAAAAAAGGCAGTTCTGCATCTAAGTAATGATAACAAACTAATAAGTGTGCGACCGGGCGGCTCCTGAAACAACAACAAACACTTGGTCGGCTGCGGGTCAGATGTAAAGGCTTCCGTCTTACTGGTGTTCTGTAAAAGTTGGTCTATCTGAAAAAAGTTTCCCCACCAGAGAGGGCACTCATGAGTAGGCATTACCAAGGTACAGTAATCTGTTTTTCATCAGTGCTGATATGTATTAAGACTGCAAAGACTTAAAAATCCTGAAGTCCATATGAAATTAGAGGTAGTATGAGAATTTAAGTTTTTATGATTTTTAAGCTGAAAACGGGGGTGGTCGTATTATACATGAGATCGTATTATACACAAATAAATACGGTAATCTTGGACAATATCTGACGATCGACTCTTTTAAATAAACCAGAGAGCGTTGACAGAGAGGAGAAGGTAGAAATGACTCAGCCTGGAACTGAAAATATAGATGGAGGACAACAGAGCTGCTTCATGGAAGAAGAAGCTCAGCTTAGCCTGTTAGTCTTTGTGCTAGCGCCGACGCTATATTGCCTTATATGTATTAGCTCGGTGCTAGCGCGACAAACAAACAAGCTAAACTGAGGTCCTCCATCCATATTTTCAGTTCCAGGCTGAGTCATTTTTGCATTCTCCTCTCTGTCATGTGGGCGGAGGACCTCAGTGATGAGGAGAATGTGTAGTGCTGAGCTAATACATATATGTGGTAATAGCATCGGGGCTAACGCTAAAGCTAACAGGCCAAGCTGAGGTTCTTCTTCCATGAAGCAGCTCTGTTGTCCTCCATCCATATTTTCAGTTACAGGCTGAGTCATTTCGACCTTCTCCTCTCTGTCAACGCTCTCTGGTTTCATTTAAAAGAACCGATCATCAGATATTGTCTAAGATTAACCTTCAGGGTGGATATAGCTCGCTAGCAGCCTCACACCGAGGACCTATCCACGTCATCATTTACCCAGAATGCTTTGCGCATAAATAAAATGGCCCCGTCCGTGTAATATATTTTAAATCGTTTGGCTTAAAAAAATTACAAAACTAAACAGCCTACAGTATTTTTACAGTTACAATATATGTTTATTAAATAAAGTTTAATGTTGCATCTAATCATGGATCCCTATAAATGTGACGAGGAACCCTGAGCATGTTTTCTTTATTTCACAGGGTTACGACATCAGTTTCCTCATCACCAACTTCCACACTGAGCAGATGTACAAGCATAAACTAGTGGATTTCGTCATTCATTTTATGGAAGAAATCGACAAGGAAATCAGTGAAATGAAGCTGTCTGTCAATGCCAGGGCTCGAATYGTCGCTGAGGAGTTCCTCAAAAACGTGAGTTACATTTTTAGCCATGATGTGCGGAGATTTTAGTTTCTATATTCTGTAAAAATTGAAAATGGCACTAAGTTGTTTTACCTAACTTACATTTCTCTAAGGCTTTTTGCATTTGTTTCTTGATTGTTTTTGCAGTTCTGAGAGAGAGAGAGGAAACCCAGGAATACATTCCATTTTGCAATTTTGGCCATCACTGTGGAGCATTCACATAGATCAGATCATCGCCTGTGTGATCAGACAAGAGAAGAAACGTGTTGTGCAGTAAGACTGTACAGACCAATAGGGTGCAAGCCTTTAACCTGAAAAGTGCTCAAATTATTGACGTTTGTACATTAGGAATATTCAGAGCAGACATTTAAAATTTGCCTTTGGAACATTAAAGGTCAAGGCAGACCTTAGGAAAAAATAAATATTTGCCATCAATATTACTGAGCACAGGAATTTTTTAAAAGATAATTTAACTGTTTTTAAAGTTCTATATACATAGATATATTATATGCACATGGATTTCTATTTGCTGTGTTTTGTTACCACAAAACTTTAACTATGAAGGCAATCAATTGTTTTTCTTTTTCCACAACACAATGAAAMTGAACGAGCTTACTTAGAGCCAAGGAATAATAATAAAAAAAACGTTGTATATTTTGCATTTAAGCGACTCTTTTTTTAATGTTGTCACAATTCAACAAATTTCTGTTTACTATGATTAAATATTTAGACATTCACAGATGATGATTTCACATTGATATACAATGTATATTATTACATGTAACACAGGTARGTTTAAACATTAGTAACAGGTCTAGCCTACACAGAGTACCTTATTTCATAAGCTTAAGAAAAAAAGTTTTGTTGTAGAAAGTCTGACTTAAAAAAAACCCTGCAGTACGAACACGACTTAAAGACTTATTGCATTTTTACCTGATTAAAGTAACACCAGAAATCATATTTGGATATCACATTTTGGATTAAAGCACAACATAGTTTGGAAAAGTCACGTGCATTTACAATGTAGGTTGTCTTCTGTAGTATTTGCAAAATGTAAACTCAGTCGAAAAATTATCTTTACCACTGGAATGTAAAAAAATAAAAACGTGCCATGATCTAGAGCCGGAAAACGGTAGCGTGCCGCCTCCGGGTCGGGGAGGAGGTCCTGCCCCAAGCGGAGGAGTTTTAAGTCTCTCGGGGTCTTGTTCAGGAATGAGGGAAGAATGGAGCGGGAGATCGACAGGTGGATTGGTGCTGCGTCTGCAGTGATGCGGGCGCTGTACCGGTCTGTCGTGGTGAAGCGAGAGCTGAGCCAGAATGCAAAGCTCTCGATTTACCAGTCGGTCTACGTTCCTACCCTCATCTATGGTCATGAGCTTTGGGTCATGACCGAAAGAACGAGGTCACGGATACAAGCGGCCGAAATGAGTTTCCTCCGCAGGGTGTCTGGGCTCTCCCTTAGAGATAGGGTGAGAAGCTCAGTCATCCGGGAGGGACTCAGAGTAGAGCCGCTGCTCCTCCACGTCGAGAGGAGCCAGTTGAGGTGGCTCGGGCATCTGGTAAGGATGCCTCCTGGACGCCTCTCTGGTGAGGTGTTCTGGGCATGTCCCACTGGGAGGAGGCCCAGAGGAAGACCCAGAACACTGGAGGGACTATGTTTCTTCGCTGGCCTGGGAACACCTTGGGATTCCCCCAGAAGAGCTGGCCCAAGTGGCTGGGGGGAGGGAAGTCTGGGTCTCTCTGCTTAGGCTGCTGCTCCCGCGACCCGACCCCGGATAAGCAGAAGAAAACGGACGGACGTGCCTTGGGCAGTTTTTTTTTTAAAGGTATACATTTTAAACAGAGAAAAGAAAGCACTGTTTAAAAAGAACACTTTCAAATACAATTTTTCATGTATCGAAAACATTTTCCAAATCAGCTGAAGTATAACAGTATATACAGTGTTTACTAATACGGAGTGGATTTGGCCTTTAATCATTAAAAAAAAGCTGCAGAACATTTTAAATTATTGTAGCACCAGTAATGGTGGATCCACAGATTTAATATAAAGCATTTTGTCTGTAATTTTGCACACAGAAAAGTCAAAAATCACAGTAGAAGTCCAAGATGTTTCTGTGTCCATGAGGAAGCAGACACAGAACTTCAGCTTAACGGCACTTTTCACATGCTGACGGCTCCAGACGACTTTGAACCGAGAGACGAGCTCAGAAATCAGAGGTGAGCTGGAACTGTTTGTAGAGCATCTTCAGTGCTGCGCTGCACGTTCACGTTCTGAAACCAGTAACACACAAAAAATACAATTATATACTTCTACTGCATTCAGAAATACCGATTATGGTCATTATGTATTTAATATTGAAATCTTAAAGACAACATTAAGTGAATGAAGTGGACTGTTTTTTAAAGGATGTTTTATATATTCACAATTTAAAAACGTTGATTATTTAAATGATTTGTTAAAAGTATTTTACTGACAATAACTACAGATTTACCCAACAATTATAACAAGCTGATAAACAGAACATGTAGACATGTTCAGAAATATCAGTTTTATGAGTTTTAGTTTTGACGAAATAAATGCTTTGATCAGAAACACTCGTTTGTGAAAGATACTTTTATTTTTTATTTACAAAGAAGCACCAATCTCGACAATCTCCACATGAAAAGAAATTACATTCGATTTAATAAATTACAGGCTTTAACTCTTGACAGATAACTGACAGGTRTTCACTGATATTTAAATACTGCAAATCAACTTAAACATTTTAAAAAAGTCAAATTTTTACTCAAGCATAGCTTATAACATTTGAWTGGTTGTGAAATTGTGCATCATAACAACCAAACTGTGCGTTAAAGCAGTTTTCCGGCTGCCTTTTGCGTAAACAATGGGCTTCRTGTTGATTCAAAACATTTTCTATGAGAAAAATGGAAGAATTTCCACGTTTTAAAAATCATGGCATATGTTTCCTCACTCGTTCACAGCTGTGTTCAGTCATACACATAAACACGCTCCTGTTTACTGTATATCAGCTGAGTCGTGAGTTTTTCCAACTTTATGTCAGCAACAGTAGCTTAAACATTGATTTAATCAAGTCACATCAATGAATGTTACTATTTTAAATGCAAAATGAGTCTTCATATTGTCACAGATTTTTTGTCACATGAAATTTTTAATCACACAAAGCTGGGTGATTTAGCTTGAAATTAGACGACATMGATGAACACTTGGAACTCTAAAAAATGAAATGATTGATACAGAAATGCTGCTGGGTCATTAGGTTGTGGTAGTTTTTTTGGTTAATCATTGCTCAACACAGATTTTGCCATTGCCAGCTTTGTTTGTCATTGCCAGCTTTGTTTCCCTGACAAGACAATAAAGGCATTTTTTATTTTGTTTTGTTTTAAAGAAATGCAAACCGAACATGTCATGTCATGATGTGCATCTCAGAAAGACTCAAAACAAAAGTCACAGTTTTTGTTTTGTTTGGTAAAACAAAAAGAGAGAAATCCCCTCCCACACGCCGATTCACGAAAGATGTTGGCTCAACGATGCAGTGAAGTCAAACCCCTGCTGTGAGACATCTTTGCATGTTGTCTGCGACACCTACCTCCGGCCTGTCCCTGTGTGTGTTCACAGCATCCACGCCCAAATACACACTTTCCACTTTACATCCTGACAAAGAGCAAACAGGGATTAGAAACAGTTGGAGCAAGAAAATACAACTTGTTRTGAAGTTATACAATACTGTGCAAAMGTTTKAAACTACTCCTTATTTTGTTTCCAAAGGCACAGATCTTAGTTTTAATTTTTTTTTGTCGTTTCTTTTTGGTGTGTGTGGGTAGGGAAGGGGAGGAGACATTTTCTGTCCAGTCTTTGCACCAGACCATGACAGCATCCTGTCAGCGTGTGCAGAAAACTCAGGAAAGTGCACAAAATAATAGTCGTCTGTAAGATAAGTTTTCAGATAAATGTTTGTAGGAATAACATTGTGCTAAAATCATACGGTTATCTTTGGTATTCAGCTAAAGAAATGGGCTCAAATTGTGTTTTTGTGACAGACTGTTGGCAACATCTCATTTAAAATGAATTTTTGCTGATTTGTCTGTCATGTTTCAACAAAACTGATACGTCTAGGTCAGTGTTCCTCTAGAGAAAATAATTTGAAAAGCAGCCAAAATCTTGTTAAAAATGCTAAAAAGTCTAAACATAGGAAAAAATAAAGTAAAGAGATGATACAAGACTTTTGCACCACACTGTGACAGAATAATCTCTGGTTCAAGGCTGAAAGCTCACACTAAGTTACAGATTTGAAACAAGTTTCTGTCTTTGTTTTTGATGATTCTGAACACAATGTGACAGATTAACGGTAATAAATATGAACCAGAAAAAAAAAGTACTGCTCACCATAAGCAACYGGCGTCAACTTCAACACAGTGTGCAAAGGACACTTAAGATAAGGCAGCTCATCTGCAGTGACAAGAGAAATCAGTCAGTTTTTAGTGGATTAATTGAAAACAGATACACCGCAACACTAAAATGCTTCTTACGCGATGTTTTGTCCAAGAAATATGCTAGAAGACAGCGCATGACGGCCTGGTGACAAATAACCAGAACGTTCTCCTGCCTCTCCAGCTCCATGATCACAGGCTCCAGCCGCTGCACCAGGTCTTCATAAGACTAATAAAAAAAGACAAAAAACACGCCACGGTCAAAAATGCAAGAACGTTTCCTGACATAAACAGAAGTTATTAGAAGAAAGCGTTTCCTCACCTCTCCTTTTGGATAGCGGTAGCGGTATTTGTCTTGGTCTCTCAGAGCAAACTCCAGAGGGAAATGTTCTTGGATCTCCTCATACATCATTTCTTCGCACACACCCTTGATTTAAACAAAATAAATAGATGTGTTTAGACTCTGCTCTGAAGCCTTGAAATAACTTCACATTGAGGTTGACATACAGCATCGATTTCATTCAGGGATTTCCACTGTTCGTACGGCACGCCGAGGCACTCCGCTGTTTGGATCGTTCTCTTCATCTGACTGGTCCAGACTTTCAAGTCTTTAATCTGCTGCTCCTCAATGAACTTCCCCAGACGTTTGGCATACTAGATGGGCAAGTGACCATTTTAGATAAGCTTTTAAAAAGAAAAACAATCGACAAACGTGCACAGAAACACACCTCTTTCCCTCGAGCGGACAAGCCGGAGTCTCCTCCGATGCGTCCCTGGATGTTGAGGTCGCTCTCTCCGTGGCGGCAGAGGTAGATGGATCGTGGAGTGATGTGGATGTTCATCAGGTAGTAGACGATTCGGCTTTGGATGTGGTCAACGACGCGGTTCACCAGGTAACGACAGCCCACGTCCATGATCTTTATAAACGACACGTCGCTGGAGAACAAAAATAATGAAAAAACCAGTCAAACACCTGCGACAATGAGCTCAATTTCAAAGTGGGACATYTGTTTTAGGTTCCCTCACCTGTCCAGATCCTCATCCAGAGGCTGGTAGGACGACTCGTAGCATTTTATTCTCTTCATGAAGTCTGCGATGGCCTCGTCTGAACTGCAGTGAACATAGTCTGGGTTTCCCAGCTTAACTTGCTGCAAAGAAAAACAGGATGTGAGCAGAAGAAACGTCACAGCTTTAATCTTTTTTATGCTGAACATGAAGGAATCAACAGGAGCTGAGGCACATCTCTGTGGGGCACAGGGTTTTATTTTTAGTTGTAAAAGTTTGTTTTTTTTTTTCTGCTGAGTTATGATGAAGCTTACCACAATGTTTTGTGCAATGACATCTGGGTCCTCACACACTGACTCCACGAAAAACACCTGTATTTGACAGAAAAAAATAATAATTAAAAATCCCACCATAAACAAACTTGAGGTTAAATTAATGGTTAAAAACGTTAAATTCTGCCTGATTCATACTTTGAACCCATTCTGCTCAGCAAACTTCATGATAGTTACTCTTCTGTCTCTTGTCGTGTTTGTGGCATCAAATACCTGAAAAAGCGCGAGGAGACAGTCAGGACTGCACCCCGTCAAACAAATCTGTAGGAACGGACCGTCATGGGACTTACYGCAACCTGTCCTCCTTCAACGCTCAGGTACTGACGAACATCGTTCAGTGCCGACAGGGCACACTGACTGCAGAAAAGATGCACAAAAAGAGTTTTCCAGTTTAAATTTGCACAAGTAGGGTTATGTCTAAAACAGTGTAGAGGACTGCCAAAAAAACAACTCCCAAAGAGGGCGATTTTATGGACTTCTTGTTCTTAGAAGTGCCTTTATTGGTCATAAAGTCTGGACATCCCAGAAACTCACCGTCTGATTTTAACACCTTCTTCATTATCAGGACGGAAAAACTCGAAGGACTTGTAGATCTTCAGACACTCCCTCCTGTAATCACCAACGTTGAACTCTGCAGGTGGCAGATGCACAGAGAGGGTTTTAAAAACTCAGACGTGGAGCTGCTTTTCACGTGAACAAAAATACATCTTGCWGTACGCAGCTCATACCTTTTGTTGGCACGCCTATCCAGTTTAGGTAGCGAGTGAGCTTCTTTGAAATGTAGGTCTTCCCTCGGGCAGGAAGTCCCACGGTCACAATGAGGGTTGGACAGTTTGTCATACATACTGAAAGAGAAGCAGACACAGAGAGAGAGAAAACAATTTAATATGTTTTAATTTGTTAGATGTGGATTGTTTACGTCTATCTTAAAAAAAGGTGTAAGCATTTTGTTGGAGGGGGAAAAAATTATTAGTCTGACAGAGACCTACATTCCTACAAGTCTCCTAAAAGGTGGTGACTTACCGGTAATTACAACAGGAAAAACAACTGTCTTTAAAAAAACGATGAGCACTTCTCAGTCACAGAAGAAAAGTATGAAAGCGTGATCATCGTTACAGCAGAGGATGAGGCCCTGTCAGGGTTCACTCAAACTAACCAGAGTCACTCAAATTAATTCAGAACCACGCGGAGCTGACAGACTAAAGATCAGGATGGAACTCAGGCTAAATAATCTGTTAAAAACAGGATTTCCTCCCATTTTTATCTAACTTTTTTAACTTTACAGTGAAGAAAATGGAAGATTCAGAAGTCAAATGTATTTTTTCTTGCTTTTGTTGTTACTTTTGTTTAATTATGATAAATAATTATGTTTGGTCCTGTCTAATTACATTCGGGTTATTGTAATTACACCTAAATCTGATGAATCTACATACTTTAAGTAAAAACTGATACTTTCCTGGTGTCACTAATTTGAACCTTGATGATGCTCCTTTGGGGACAAATTGGTTGGAGATGAAGTTTAAGTAAGTGTGTGTGTGTGTTGGGGGGTGTGGGGGGGGGGTATTTTGGCAGGTTATACAGGACAGAACTAGCTGCAGCTTGTTAAAGAGGAAAACTGCGGAGCTTGAGTCAGCAGAAAACACGCAGATCTGCAGGAGAACACRACCCAGAGCTGTGGTGATCAAAGAGGAGCTGCTGAGTCCTCATCAGACCGGTTAATGCTGGTCCTGGGTGAATTAAATTATTTGGAGACGTCTCGGTGTGCGCAGTGCCTCCCCGTGAAGAGCTTCTGAATGGCCCCCTCTATGGAGCATGATGCAATACTGCGAAGTGGGCAAGTGAAACCCCACTAATCCGCGCATGATGACGCCAAACTAAATATCTGGAAAGCTGTTCCATTAAAAACGAAAAGTGTTATTAAGAGGACATTTTCTTCATCTCGTCCAGGTTACATCCTGCGGCGCACTTGTTTGCCCCGGAGGGCGGTCAGCTGCATCTCTTACCCCGTCTGTGGCCGATGTGGCCGTTCCTGTGGGGCATCCAGATCTTCTTCAGCGGGTTCTGGGTGAGCTCCCGCGGGTGGCTCTCCAGCAGAATCTCCTCGTTGTCCAACATCTTGGGTGGATAATGCTCGCCAGCCGGCTTCGCTTCAGTCTGTGAGGCGGTGGGCTTCCAGTCTGTCTCGCAGTGTGTCTGTCTGCGGCTGCACAGGACTGGACGTCTCATATCAGCTGAKAAACACTCGTTTTTTTACATTACCGTAATAGACGGAGGCAGCGCGCAACGAGAAACGCAAGAGAACAAAACAACACGTCTCATCTTTCATGATCGGGCTACATATGGTGGCATTTTCAACTAACTACTATTTAAATGCAGTTTTTTTATTCATGTTTGTTACTTAAACATTGCGTTATTAATATATATTTAAGAATGAAATATGCTTCTCATTTTAAAAATAAAACGGGAAAGGCACATTCATTGTCTAAATTGAGGTTGTCAACCAACAGGGAGCCCAAAATATTACCTCAAGTAAATAAATTGGCTCACTTTATATATAAATGCAAGATAAAGTATATAAATTCAGTGTTCTCATTTTCTTTTTAAATCACAAAAATTCACTGTTTTTGCGCATATTTTCGTTTTCGTATGTATTTTAATTTCATCGCAGTTTCTAGTAAAGTAAATAAACGGCGTTTTTCATTTCTTGAAGAAAATGTTCGTCACAAGCACTCCCAGAGCACAAAAAGTCCTAATTTCTTAGGAAATGGCTTTAGATGCGTTACCGTAATACCACGGAGTAACGCGCAAAGTGATGCGCTGAGAAGAAAAGAACCCCGTTGTTCACGTGCTGCGCGCATGGGCAGCGAATGCATCCGAGGAGTTGACCAATCAGAGGACAGTTCAGAGGGACAGCAGCCAATCAGAGAAGAGGAGAGCTAAATGGATGGTGTGCTGCCAGTGAGAGGCTCACACAAACCCATCCTCGTGAAAACTACAAGTCTTAAGGTTTTCACGACCCCGTCACGAGCCCATGGTGTTCACGTCGTGCAGATAGTAAAAAAGGTCAACAACGTTATTTCTAACACACAAGAGAACACTTTGTCAGGCTGTAAACATGTCCGACCATCTGAGAAACAAACCTATTTCTAGATCTGCTTTTATTTATTTACTACACTACATGGTGTGCTCACAAAAATAAAATACCTTCCATGAAATAAAAACGAATAATTCAAAACAATTTAAGCTCTAATAATTAAAAACGTGCAATGCTGTCACAGTAAGAAAAGATGCGTATTTAATTCTTTGTAATAAACGTGGAAATTAGTTAATTTGTCATTTTAATCAAAGCAAACAGAATTCAATGGCGTAGAGCGTTTGCGCCCTCTCACAGCCTTATTAAGTTAAATCAGGAAGTTTTGATGTAATGCAGGGGGCATTAAACTAACAAAAGTCCAGTTTCTTGAATTAAACTCCCCTGCAGCTGTGGTTGAAAGGAGAAGTGCTGACTTCAGTTCAATCCACTGTTCTGCTTTCAACACCTCATGAAAAACAATGCAGTGTCGTGGTTATGACACTAGATGGCACTGTGCATGCACACTTTTAAAAAACCTACAGTTGGCTAATCAGCTCAGTGAACACATAAGATAAACAGGAAAAAACAGAAGCATTGTAGGTAGTTCAGCCTGGTGGAGGAACAAAATAGGTCAGGAGTGTCAAAGAGCACTCAGAGTGTCAGCTGGACTGATAATCCAATCAGCAAAACACTTTACTATAAGATGTCTTCCAGTAATCCTATAAACACACAAAGACGTGTTTCAGCTTCTACACACAGACACATGTAAACATATACACACCTGCAGGCCATGTGATGGAAAATTACTACACATCTAGAAACAATGGTGGGAAAAAATGACTGTCTATATTATATAATACTGTTGTTCTGCATTCAGCTTTTTTTTTTTCCTTGTGGGCTTCATTGTAAGATCATCCTACTATAAGGAGTGGTGTTATGGCTGTTTTCGTCATACCTTAATCTCATGCAATCTTTTGAGATCTTGGTATATATGTTGAGAATGGCTCTCAAATACTACAGCACAGAATTTTAGCTCAGTTTCTGCATAATTAACAGAGTTGGAGTCATTTTTGTGTTGAGTAAGGTCGATTAGATGTGGTAACCATTTGAACCGAGGTGAAGTTATTCAGTTATAAATGTACTGTAAATATACTAATGATAAGTTTCTGATAGAGACACTTTGCTAATAGACAGTTGACTACAATGGGTAAAGGCAGCGTTTTAAAAAACAGATTGTACGCAGTCAGCTAGTGTTCAGATTTTATGTTGGGGATAACTCTCAGCTACTAACACAACATTTCAGTTTAATATCTGTAAAACTGGGAGAGAGGAGTTTGCTAAAATGTTGTTGTGGCAGGCATCTTAAATATGGTTGACAAATCAATTGTAGAGGTACATTCAATGATTACTTTCTGAAAGTTTTAATTAGATCCATTTACTTCATGCAATATTTTGCAAATGCTACAAACACACATACAATGTTGTTCTGCTATTTGCTGACATGCAATAATAAAGCAGACAGAGACACACACTGGGTAACGTGAAGAACACCATCTTCTGTCTCCTGCAGGTTAATTAAACTTKTACACTCTAAAGAGATGTCACACAAGCTGTCTGTGCAATCTGTTGTTGCAGGGCTACAGCCAGTCTCTGACCTCTTAATATCTCATTTCTCAATTATGCTTCAAACGTTTGTCTTTTGGTCAAAGATCTTTTACTGAACCTTAACAATCACACTTTCCATCATATATGAAAAAAATGTAACAAAAGTTAATCTGCGTGAGCTCAAGTACATTAAAAACACTGCAATCCGCTACAAATGGGTCATTGTAAACTGGCAGCATTAATGAACATCTTATCATAACCGTGATAGATATACTTTCATTTTGAGACACACTTTTCTCTTCTTAAGATAACAAAATGTGCTGCCATTATTTCCAAGACTGTTCCTCGAAATGCATCAAATATTCCTTATTAACCAAATCTCTATTTAAAATGCTGTCCACCTTTATTACAGCAAAATAGTTCAGTGCTGGATCATGTCTTACTTTTTAAAATGCCCCATACGCGTTTTTGTTTATGTGATGTTTCTGTCACAGAAACAAAAGAACAATGTCGACCTAATTGTGGTTCAGATTGTTGCACASCCAGTTAGTTCTTTCTTTTAAAAATCCTGAACTAACAAACTGGACTTTTGTTATTGTGAACAATAACAGGTTTATAAAGCAGCTTGACTGCATGCTGTTTTCAAAGACATCTGCTAAAGTTCCTTTAAACTATTATTATTTAGGTACATATACAAATTTATTCTTCCAACAACATTAAGTTTATAAAGGGGTTAAAACAATGCTTGCTATTTTCAGTATTTCTAATCCTGAAGATAACAAATCTGTCATATCGCAAACAGATTCAGCAAATCCTCACAATCATTTATTGTTAACATAATTTTGCTCGACCGTTTCTTTGAATAGCAAAAATATTCACGATGATTAAATTATTCAGTCAGTTCAATATGGTTTGCACGCTTTAGGAGAGAGCAGAAATGTAGTCCGAGCCAGAACGACTGACATCAATGTCTCTAYAACACACTAAAATATTACATTTTCAAGGCTAGACATGTTAAAAATACCCAAAAACACAGAACAACCCTCATGCCTCAGTGCACTGCTGCAGTCCCACAGTCACTGCAGTGGCACCACACAGCCTGAAGCCTTTAATGTGATTCTGAGCAAGCGGGTGAACTTTCCCCCAGATAAAGCAGACACAGGGAGGGAGGGGAGGCGAGAATGTGAGCAGTTCTACGAACAGGGACTAGAGGGAGTGACGGTTTAGAAACCTGGCACAGAAATAGATGGGGAAAATAAATACTATGGAGCAGAAAAGAAAGAAGGTGCAGCATTGGAAGCAGCATGGTGGTTATTATCCTGCAGGAGGAATGGYTGTTGTTGACATATTGTGTAACAATACAGACGATCTGCTGCACATTTTCAACATTCACTGCAGCTCCAAAATGTCCAAACACCCCTTCAGCAGCTACAACACAAAGCAGCYGCTCATGTGTCCCTCAGTTCTGTTAAAACGAACAGAAACCTGCTCTTCTGCTATGTTTTCGTGTTCTTCAGCTGTGCAGGCAGACTGCCCCGTTCATCCCCCCATAATACACCTGCCACAACAACAGGCTGCAGACATTTAAACCACAGCGAGTGACCACACTACAAGCTGGTCATCTGCACAGAGCCTGTAAACCTGACAGCACAGCAATGTAAAGTGGCCAGACCCATGACTCACAACATTGCACAACAAATTTGTATTGTGATATTAAAAMGCTWRTGGATTATTCATTGAAAAGAAGCCTCAGCTAGGTGTGCAGACACCAYATGAACCTTTAGCATGAATAAAAACAGTGGGCTGGTCTTAAAATAATGAAAATGTAAACACAGAGAAAGAGTCACTGGAGCAGCTGTGAACCTGGATTTTAAAACCTTAAAATTACCACTCCATTCTGCTATAACATCATTTGTAGTTCAACTCAGTCTTTAAACACAAAGAAATCAAATTATTATGTTGGGCTTTATGCAAATCATCGTGCCACACAGTTTTCTTTTTAGAAAGTTTATTTACTTATTTGTAAAATTTGAGCCGACTCCAATAAAACATGAAAACATTTTTTGATTGTTGACATTTTAACAATTTCGTTTTGTTATCTGATGCGTTTGAGAAGCTTTGACATCTTCAAATTAAACTGCTTTATGTTTTTGGTTTCTCGCAGGCTCCTGTAGCTGCAGCCAGACTGAGCAGCTAAAAAACACCAACGTCTTATCAAGCAGCTTGTATTTTCACTAAATGAATCACGAAAACAACCGCATTAAAGTTATTTCTCGGCTGTTAGTTTCAGTCTGTCGTGCTGTCAGTGAAGGCAGCCTACGTGACACTGACTTGTTTACTTCCTCGCGCCGCTTCGCTGACACACAGGCTGCACCACATCTACCCGGAGGAGCGTCAGAACAACGAAAGGAGGAAAAAGTGAGAGGGGTTCGGTTCCTACCCGGTCTGTCCTGCGTGTTTCTCGGGCGGCAGGAGCCCCTCATGGTCCCCGTTTAAAGCCTCGTCCTCCTCTGTCTTGTTGTCAGCGTGGAGACGAGTGAGGAGGAGGAGGAGCATGATACCCCCGAGCAGCAATGAATGAAGTGGGTGTGTGTGCGCGCGCGCGAGCTGTGGCGTTCACACGGGCGCGTGCACGTTCACCAAAAATTGTCAGGTAGCACCGAGTAGTTTGTCCCACAGCAGCACCTGTACATTTGTCGTGGTCGTCCCCAGACCGGTTAATCTAATACAGGTGTCAAATGAAAGGCCCACGGGCCAAATCTGGCCCTTGCTAACATTTTATCTGGCCCCAAAGATGATATGTGAAGTGGTTTTATGTTTTTTGTCACTGTACACTGTTGCCAAATATTTAAAAATTTCTTTCTTTCTTTCTTTCTTTCTTTCTTTCTTTCTTTCTTTCTTTCTTTCTTTCTTTCTTTCTTTCTTTC